AATCAATATCGTGAAAATGGCCATACTGCCCAAGGTTATTTATAGATTCAATGCCATCCCCATCAAGCTACCAATGAGTTTCTTCACAGAATTGGAAAAAACTGCTTTAAAGTTCATATGGAACCAAAAAAGAGCCCGCATCTCCAAGACAATCCTAAGTCAAAAGAACAAAGCTGGAGGCATCACGCTACCTGACTTCAAACTATACTACAAGGCTACAGTAACCAAAACAGCATGGTACTGGTACCAAAACAGAGATATAGACCAATGGAACAGAACAGAGTCCTCAGAAATAATACCACACATCTACAGCCATCTGATCTTTGACAAACCTGAGAGAAACAAGAAATGGGGAAAGGATTCCCTATTTAATAAATGGTGCTGGGAAAATTGGCTAGCCATAAGTAGAAAGCTGAAACTGGATCCTTTCCTTACTCCTTATACGAAAATTAATTCAAGATGGATTAGAGACTTAAATGTTAGACCTAACACCATAAAAATCCTAGAGGAAAACCTAGGTAGTACCATTCAGGACATAGGCATGGGCAAAGACTTCATGTCTAAAACACCAAAAGCAACAGCAGCAAAAGCCAAAATTGACAAATGGGATCTAATTAAACTAAAGAGCTTCTGCACAGCAAAAGAAACTACCATCAGAGTGAACAGGCAACCTACAGAATGGGAGAAAATTTTTGCAATCTACTCATCTGACGAAGGGCTAATATCCAGAACCTACAAAGAACTCAAACAAATTTACAAGAAAAAAACAAACAACCCCATCAAAAAGTGGGCAAAGGATATGAACAGACATTTCTCAAAAGAAGACATTCATACAGCCAACAGACACATGAAAAAATGCTCATCATCACTGGCCATCAGAGAAATGCAAATCAAAACCACAATGAGATACCATCTCACACCAGTTAGAATGGCGATCATTAAAAAGTCAGGAAACAACAGGTGCTGGAGAGGATGTGGAGAAATAGGAACGCTTTTACACTGTTGGTGGGATTGTAAACTAGTTCAACCATTATGGAAAACAGTATGGCGATTCCTCAAGGATCTAGAACTAGATGTACCATATGACCCAGCCATCCCATTACTGGGTATATACCCAAAGGATTATAAATTATGCTGCTATAAAGACACATGCACACGTATGTTTATTGCGGCACTATTCACAATAGCAAAGACTTGGAATCAACCCAAATGTCCATCAGTGACAGATTGGATTAAGAAAATGTGGCACATATACACCATGGAATACTATGCAGCCATAAAAAAGGATGAGTTTGTGTCCTTTGTAGGGACATGGATGCAGCTGGAAACCATCATTCTTAGCAAACTATCACAAGAACAGAAAACCAAACACTGCATGTTCTCACTCATAGGTGGGAACTGAACAATGAGATCACTTGGACTCAGGAAGGGGAACATCACACACTGGGGCCTATCATGGGGAGGGGGGAGGGGGGAGGGATTGCACTGGGAGTTATACCTGATGTAAATGACGAGTTGATGGGTGCAGCACACCAACATGGCACAAGTATACATATGTAACAAACCTGCACGTTATGCACATGTACCCTACAACTTAAAGTATAATAATAATAATAAATAAATTAAAAAAAAAAGAAATTTGCAGGTAGTGCTTCCTCCTAAATACTTTAGCATGCATATTATTAACAAGGGTTTAATAGTTGTTTTAAAATCCTAGTTTTACTATACAATTTACATTGATTGAAATGCACAAATCTGAGGTGTATGTTCTTTGAGTTTTGACAATTGCATATACCAGTATGACCCAAATCCCTATCAAGATATACATTACTATTATTCCAGAAAGTTCTCTCATGCCCCTTTCCTGTCTAGAGCACTGCTATAATTTCTTTTTTGTAGTATCTCGTATTTTTAATGCACAATTCTATGAAATTAGAGCAATTTGTAAAAAATTAGATATTCTTTGTTTCTTTTTAGAATTAATAACCATAATTTTTAACAGCTAAGTTTGGTTCTTATCAAAATTGGGTGGAAAGAACAGGAAGTTCCATGTGCCTCTTCTCCAAACCCCTACAGCCTCCCCTCCCCCACCACTATCAACAGATGCACCAGAGTAGTCCATTTCCTACAGTCCAAGAACCTACAGTGACTTGCCATTATCATCCAAAGTTCATAATAAACACTAGGATTCACTCTTGGTGTTGTGCGTTCTATGGGTTTTGACAAATATACAAGGACACGTATTCACCGGTATAGTATCACACAGAATAGTTTCACTGACCTAAAAATCCTGTGTGCTCCCTATTCACCCCTTCCTACTTCCTAATCTCTCGCAACGACTGATGATTTCGCTGTTTCCATAGTTTTGCCTTTTCCAGGAAGATATATAGTTGGAATACAGTATGTAGCCTGGATTCTTTCGTTAGTAATACACATTTAAGTTCCCTTCATATCTTTTCATGACTTGAGAACTCATTTCTTTTTAGTGCTGAATAATATTTCATTGGCTGGCTTTACTACATTTATTTATTCATTCACCTACTGAAGGACTTCTTGATTACTTCCAAGTTTGGGCAATTATGAATACAGCTGTTATAAATGTTAGTGTGCAGATTGTGGAGTCCTAATTGGGGAGGGGTAGTCAGGCTGGCAGGATGGAGGGAAAGCAAAAAAAGAAAGCAGATAAGCAATGAGTTTGCCTTTCTTCATGGTCCAGGACACACAGTTCTCCTGCACAAATAACTTACAATCTTCCTGCATCCAGCTATCACCAGACCCTTGGCTGATAGAAAAATGCAAATGAGCTCACTGCAATTTTGGCATTATCAGTACTGCACAAAGCCCACTTCAGTACCCAGCACAAACACCATTCCATAAAATCCGCAGTAAGCTTTTTTCTCCTGGCAGTCAGCTCCTCTCTTGCTGACCTGCCTGTTGTGGCCTTGCAACATATTTTCCTACTTTCTTTAATAAATCTGCCTTTCTTTACCTACAATTGCCTTGGTAAATTCTTTTACCACCTGTGCAATGGCCCAGATAGTCACCACTCACCACGATACAGGTTTTTGTGTGGACACAGTTTTCAATTCAGCTGGGTAAATACTAATGAGTGGCATTGCTGGATTGTGTGGTAAGAATATGTTAAGATTTATGTTTTTAAAAACTGCCAAACTGTCTTCCAAAAAGATTGTACCATTTTGCATTCCCACCAGCGATAAATGAGACTTTCTTTCCTCCATATCCTCACCAATATTTGGCGTTGTTGGTGTTTTGGATTTTGGCCATCATGGTATGTGTGTAGTGGTATCTCATTGTTTTCATTGGCATTTCCATGATGAAATATGACATGGAGTATGCAAATCTATGCCACCCATAGATTTGGTAAAGTGTCTAAGTCAATTGTCCATTATATAATTGGGTTGTTCTTCTTATGGCTGAATTTTGAGAGCTCTTTTTATATTTTCTTTCTTTTTTTTTTTTTGAGATGGAGTTTCACTCTTGTTGCCCAGGCTGGAATGCAGTGGCACTGTCTCGGCTCACTGCAACCTCCACCTCCTGAGTTCAAGCTATTCTCCTGCCGGTGTTTTATAGTAACAAAAAACCAAAACAGTCTGTTCACTGCATTTCCAGTGGCTCCTTTACCTGAAAATCTACCTCTTGACCAGCTTTATCTCCCAACACCTGGACCCAGTGACTTTTACTGGGTTAACTGTTAACTACAGGGTCTTTTCTCAGGGTTGCTGAGGTGCTAGTCTCTGCTAAGATGCTCACCTCTTCATCTTTCCTTATTGACTAGCTGCTCTAGCCATCTGCTTTAACTTCTTTTTGGAAGCCCTCCCTTATCACCTCACTCTCCCTAACAGTTCAGCTCCTTGAGGTCAGGGTCTGTCTCTTCCACAGTGGTGATGACCAGCACGCGGTGGGTGTTGTATATAAATTCTAGTTGTATCAAATATAAGCCCCAACCTGCACGAGGGATTTAGCCTGGGAACCTCCCCAAATCTTCTTGCTACGCCTGGTGACTTTTATTACAATACCCAAAGAATTTCATAGATGCCACATTTGTCATTTTAGGTGAAAAAGTTTGAAATTTTAGCAACTACTTGGGAAGGGCACATGGGAGTCCAGCATGGCACGTGGTCCAATCGAGATGGACTTGGACAGAGCCTTCTGGAGGCTTTGTGAGCTGAGACTCCGTTGTGCACCTGGTTACCTTCCTCTGTGATATGGAGTCTATTCATTAGACATTCTCATTTGTTCTTTATATTTCCTTCGGTTGGAACAAGAGACTTCCGAAAACACACAGGTGATGGAAGTATGGGTTGTTTAGCTAGTACAATGTGGGAAGGTTTTCTATTTAAAAAAAAAAAAGTAGATCAGGTATTTTCAGGTAGCTTACTCTAAATGGGGCAACAGATGATCCCTTCTAGCCTCTCACCTGTCTTTTACTTTCTGAGGCCAGAGTACCATTTCTGAACCCCAGCCTCAAACCCTGAAGTTTATTCCTCATCCCTTGAGGACCCAAACACAAACAGCCTTGCCAACGCACTAGTTCCTAACCCACCTCGACTGCAAAGTGTCCACAGGGCCTTCACCAGCAGTGGGGGAAGATGCTCCAGAAACAGGCTGAGACCTTTGTCCTGTAACTTGACTGAGACGCAACCACCTTGGGTGAAATATACATGATCACTAAGGTCCTTTTCTAGTATTAAAATTATATATATGTACGTTCACTTTTCTAAAAAGTGAATTTTTATCTTTATTCAAACAATTTTCCTTTGTCCCCATAGATCACTTTCAAGTTTTGCTGCAATCAAGGATTGGGTCAGACACAGCCACTGGGCAGCTGACATGAGATCTGCACGTTTTTAAGTAGAAGACCCAAAAGGCCACCTACTCTTCCTCGTAGTGAGCCACTGGCACAGCAGGTATGGCTTAGAGCCCAATTACGTTCTTTATTACACAAAAATTCAGTGCATCAAAAATAGAAGCCCCACCACTACATTTGAAATTAAAATTTTATTTAAACAGGTAAAAATTTATACATCCTTTTAAAAACAAAAATGCAAAGTCAGTAAGTGAATCAATAATATAAACCTATTTATAGCAGTAATTAAAATAGAGGTAACATTTACCAGTGTGAAAATATCACAGAATTCAAATCACACTTGGATCTTCAATGATTCGAGTGTGTATCCGACACAGCAGGGGCTGGTAGACTGAAGATGAATTCCTCCCATGCATGCGCCATCCCCAGTCAAGTCCTTCCTCATCACTGTCCACCAGCTCACACGGTGGGGTAGCTGGCTGCTGAGGCAATTCCACAATGGTTTCTCCGGTCCTTGGCCATCTTTATGTAGCCACCCATGCCCCATTCTTCACCCCAGCTGAAAAAAGAGCAGGTTTTCCATTTCAGAGAAAGAATCAAGCCCAAAGGGTTGCTAACAGGAACACCCAACTTAAACACTGTGCCAGAGGCCACAGACTTAACAGACAGAATCAGGAGAGGCAATGTTCCTGTTTATCCTTAAAATTCTTGAGTCTGGGCTGGGCACGGTGGCTCAAGCCTATAATCCCAGCACTTTGGGAGGCCGAGACGGGCGGATCACTGGGTCAGGAGATCGAGACTATCCTGGCTAACACAGTGAAACCCTGTCTCTACTAAAAAATACAAAAAACTAGCCGGGTGAGGTGGCGGCGCCTATAGCCCCAGCGACTCGGGAGGCTGAGGCAGGAGAATGGCATGAACCTGGGAGGCAGAGCTTGCAGTGAGCTGAGATCCGGCCACTGCACTCCAGCCTGGGGGACAGAGCGAGACTCCGTCTCAAAAAAAAAAAAAAAAAAATTCTTGAGTCTGAACCTGGACATAAGTTCCATCCCAGCCTCAAAACTGTGACCTTTCACAGAACTGCAGATCAGAGACAGGAAAATAATAGGATGTCTTTGCAGCCAGATATGCCTCAGAATTTAAAAGATGTTCAGATTTAGACACACATTTATACAATGGAACAAATACTATATTAATACTCCCAAGATGTTTGTGACAGTATCTTACTTTTATAATCAAACATTAATATTACATGTTCAACTTAGACTTCTGGGGATTTCAGAAGTATGCCTAAGGGCATGTGGAACTGTATCCAAACACTGTTTGCAAATAAGTATTCTCTTTTGAATTTCAAATATAACTATTTCTGGCAATTTATACCTGTTCTTCACCAGCCAATATTTACTGTTGTCTGGTTCTGTGCTTTCAAATCCATAGCCAACCACCAGCACACCATGATCCATGTCTTCACTGCTACAGTCTGGCTCAAAATAAATGCCTGGGATAGCAAAACGAAGGCGGGGGTGAGAAGTTCCAGAAGACACACGACAGTAACCCACCTGTCACCCACAGGGAATGAGGCATCTCTGAATTCAGTGGAGTGACACACATTCCAGATAGTACTTAACAACAATAAGATCTATTGTTAGCAAGGCTAGGGATTTAAGCTCTCATTTACAACTAGCAGAAATAGAAATCAGCATAAACCCTTCATTAAAAAAAAAAAATTCTCCTAGAGGAATAAAAGACCACTCTTTGTAAGCTTGCAATTCTACTCTAGGATATCAATCTAAAAAACTAGCACAGAACACCGAAATCCTTGAATCAAAAGGCTCTTTGCAGATTTACTAACAGAAGTAAAAATCTTCAGAAAAATTATAAAAATTCAACAATTACAGAATATTTAAGTATACTAAACTACACAGTAAATGATACAGCTATTTATAAAAAGTTATGAAGTACTTATATTCATGGACAGATGCTCAACATAAGGTCAAATGGAAACATCAGGCATAAATATTGCATGTACAGAATAAACAACTATGATGCTAAGCACCTAAATATCTACAATGAACTTTACAAACTAGAGTCTATCATTCTCGTATGTCATGATACTCTTTTTCTGCATCAATTTCTACAAAGAAAAAAATGCTTACCTTCTTTATAGAACATGAAGGACTCATGACCTGCATCAATAGCAACAGAAATGGGCCCCACAGTTGCAACTGCCTTCATCAGGGCCTTCTCCTGCTTAGGGATGTCCACAAAGCCGGTGTCATTAGCAACAGAATACTCGGGATTGTACTTACAGGATTCTTCCTTTTAAAGGTAAAGGGGAAAAAAAAAGACTTGATGACTGCTGTCCTCCTCTTGGAGAACAAGAGTTAGAACTACAACACTCAGCAGTGTGCGGCTTAGGATTTCCAAGTCACCACTGTTATAAATCATCCCAGGAAGTGAAATGCTATTAGTTAATTTGAAACTGAAAATTGGCTCCAGTCTCCTCAATGAGACCCCTGGGTTTACTTCCATAAGACATTTTTCACAATAGAGAAATGTGTATATGTAGAATGGCTTGTATATTCTTCATGTTACACAGAAGCAAGAACAGCTATATGTTAACCATCTAATCACAGGATTGTGCAAAGGCTAATAATTTACAATGACAGTACTGACAACTTGCAGCTATAGATTCTGCCATCTAATATGTGAACTTTTTTCTTTTTTCTTTTTTTGAGACAGGGTCACACTCTGTCACTCAGACTGGAGAGTGCATTTGCACAACCACCTCCTACACTCAAGCAATCGTCCTACCTCAGCCTAGCTGGGACCACAGACGCACACCACCACAGCCAGCTAACTTTCTTTGTAGTTTTGGTAGAGTCAAGGTTTTACCTTGTTGCCCAGGCTGGTCTCAAACTCCTGAGCTCAAGCCATCTACCCGGCTCAGCCTCCTAAAGTGCTGGGATTATAGGCGTGAGCCACCCCACCCAGCCCTAATACATGAATTCCGAAAAAGGTATCTGTTATCTCTGAAAGTGTTCCACCTCCCAAAAGCTGCGCTGGAATGACGACAAGGAGCTCCACTTACTGTTGCCTCATATGGATAGGATTCCTCAGAGTCCAGGCCTCCATTGTCGGCAACATACTGGAAGGCATAATCCATTAGGCCACCATTGCAGCCCTCATTGCCTTGAGGCCCAGAGCAGTCTACCAGATTCTGCTCACTCAGTGAGACAAGCTTCCCAGTTTTCCGGAACATCTGTCCTTCAAGAGCACCAGTAGCGCTAAAAGCCCAACAAGAACCACACTGACCCTGAAGAGGGAATTAAAAAAGCTGTCATTCACAAAAAAATAGTAAGACTTTGACAACAGCTCACACATCTGAATACTGTTAAAAAGTGAACTGCACATCGCTTTAAAGTCTACCAAAATAAAGATGTCAATCACTTCTTGGCTTTCCTGGGAAGATGGGAGGTCTGGCCCTGACACTGTCTCACCTGATTCTTCACAGGAGTCACGTAGCCTTTCTCTCTCCAATCCACAGATCTGGGGGCCTCATAAAACAGAGGTTCCTGGAACACTTTCCCCTTCCTGGGTTTACGGTTTTGAAAGCCATTCATCACCTGCCTGAATTCTTCACTGGTCTTCAAGGAAAAGGAAATAAAATGTTGAAAAGCAAGAGATTACTTTAGTAAAGAACTGAGGGGAGGAAGCACAGAGCTCGGCGGTCCACAGCACACTCACCATGTCTCCAAAGGTGTTCATGGCCATTGTGAAGCTGTGTTTCCCTTGGCTGTATTCCTGATTGTGCAGTTCAATCATCTTCATGTTCTTCTCCCACACTGCTCTCCTCCATCCTTCTTCATTCTAGAGGCAAACATGTAACTGATGCTCTTTATTTCTACCTAAAACCCAACTCATGCTCACCAAGTGATTCTGCAGACAGAGACGGAAGAGAAACCACGGCCAGGGAAGGCTTGACACCTCTGGGGATGCTGTTCCCCAAATTGAGACAGAAAAGGGATGAATGCCCATACTGTGCTCATAATCGGTGCCATTAGGTTATTATATTAGGCTACTGGTGAAAGCTGGCCTCTAGAAGCTACTCTCTGTCTAAAACTTCTCAACAGCCAAGACTATTTTTTCTGGGGAAGTTTCAGATACCACTAACCATGCCGTATAATCTGTTGTGCATCGCCTTCCACTTGGTCCACTGTGCCTCTAAACTGTGATTAAATGTTAAAGTAGCTGAGGCAATTCCCAGGCAAAAGGCAGCGAGGATGAATGTAGGATTCATGTTTCAAAACCTAGGAAGGGAAAAGAAATGAGGATCTGATTAGACTGATCCTAAAAAGCAATCTTACTGCCCCTTGAAAAATTAGGGCCACCATCGTAGAATAAAAATATTTAAATTATCCTTCCAAGCATTTACCCAAGGACTGTGGAAGAGGCCAAGGATGTGCCTGGAGAAAAACAGGGCACATGGAGGTGCTGGATGGACCCACCAAAATGAAAAGCAGCCTGGCTAGAGCTGTAAGAGTTTAAACAGTTTATGGGATGATAATTTAGGTTATGAGAAAGGTATGAAAGCACCTTGTGGGTGAGAAGCTTAAGGCAACAACTAGGAAACCAGGAAACAGTTGATCCAGGTTTTGTACCAATGGCAAAAATCCCAGGTTTTGTGCCCAGGCAAAACCTCAATAATGATAAGGTGGGATTCCCAAGTAGTGACAAAGAGATCCCCAAGAATTAGGAGGCCTTCACACATCTTCTTGACTAACAAACAGCTGAAGCTGAGATATGTTTTCCAACCTCTCCGTTTTTGTTTTTTTGAGATGGAGTCTTGCTCTGCCGCCCAGGCTGGAGTGCAATGGTGCGATCTGAGCTCACGGCAACCTCCGCCTCCCGGGTTCAAGCCATTCTTCCTCAGCCTTTTGACTAGCTGGGACTACAGAGGTGTGCCACCTCGCCTGTCTAATTTTGTATTTTTAGTAGAGACGGGGTTTCACCATGTTGGCCAGGCTGGTCTCGAACTCCTGACCTCAGGTGATCCGCCCACCTCAGCCTCCCAAAGTGCTGGGATTACAGGCGTGAGCCAGCGTGCCTGCCCCAACCTCTCCTTAAATGAAACCCTTCTGAAATGCTTTCCCAGGAAAAACTGGGAGGGACAGCACACACTGCTCCCTCCTTCACTCACCTGGGCCTGTGCTGCCGACACCCCAAATTGCTCCCCTAAATCAGGGACGGGGTCATATGGCCGCACGCGGGAAGCCAGCGCCCCGCAGCCAGCTGCCAGGGCTCCAGGCGTGGCAAGGCCGGGGACGTGACGCCTGCGCCACACACAGGCTGCAGCGGTCAGAGGATGTTTGCGGTGACGCCAGCAGGAGCACCGCTGTCTGGCGTGCGGGAACTGAGCTTCCCTGTCTGACCGGGCCAGGCCATGAGTCGGCGCGGCGCGGCCTGGCTGCGGTACCTGTGTCCACCCGGCTCGGAGGCTAGCCTGCCCGCTCAACCAGGGACCCCGCCTGCGTGGTCTCCGCGCTTCCGCGGGGTCCTTAATTGCCCTCCCCCGCTTCCCCACCTTAAGGCCGGCAGAGCTCAGGGCAGACGCTCTCGTTGCCAGGGCTGGTGCACAACTCCTCGACCGCGTCCTCTCTTCCAGTCCCTGTCCGGCCCCAGCTGGGCCTGGCCGGCAGCGCTTTCCTGCTGCGGTCGTAGCTGCGCAGGCGCACTCCACGGATGCCGCTCTTGAGGTTGCGGAGGTCGCGGAGGTCGCGGTTCTGGCCCAGCTTCGCCCGACTCTGCCTCTAAAACCTCGGGTCTGGGCTCCGCCGGCACCGCCCCACCGCCTGGCTGCGCTACGATTGGCTGTGCCGGCAGCTGGGCGGGGCCTCTGGGTACTCTGACCCCTGGCGCGGTTCGTGGCTTGTTTACTGACTGTCCCAGAGCGGGGCGCGCCTGCCTCAGTGGACTTGGGGGAAGCGGAGCTGGTACCCCGAGGCTGCGCAGAGTAGGGTCGGGCGTCTCCCTGGAGCGCTCGAATCAACTAAGTACCCGACTTACTGCACTGGGCAGGTGGCTCCTGAAAAGACGTTTACAGCAAGCCCAGTATGGACTTTCAGCCTAACCTAGCTTTTCCTTAGTCCTGGAATCTTTGGTCCGCATAGCCGAGAGCCAGTGTACTCTAGTCCAGTGGCTCCTGTTTAGTCCACAGCAAAGGTGGGGCCGGGTGGAAGAACGCAGATCCCGCGGGCAGAAGCCTTATCTCCCACTTAAGGGTGGGTGCAGCTGGGCTTTAGAAGAATCTGGTAGGGAAAGGCGTCCCCAAAACACGAGATGCTATCGTCAAGACCAGACCCTAGGAGGGAGAAGACTGGCTGCGTCTCCAGAGAGCGCGGGCGTTTTGTCAAGCATCCTTTCCAGACTCCTCCATTCAGAGATTCTTCTTTCTCCCACGTCTTTCCCAAAACCAACAGAAAGGAGTTATTTACAGAAACATTTGGTTGACAGGAGAAAAGCAGTTGATAACATTAGAAGCTGCTTTTATTCGCCCACTCTCTAGGTTATGGATTATATCTTCCTTGGTAACCAAGTCGTTCTCTTGAGATTTAAGAAATTTAATGACATTTAATGTCAGGATTTAAGATACAGAGAATGCAGAAATGTTGTAGATAGAGGAAAAATATGTATCTTAATCTAATGTATATATTAATTTATATAATTAAGCATTTAACGAACAAAACCCACAAACATTCTAAACTTTTGTCATTTTATTTTTTTATTACATAAAAACATTCGTCGTAGAAAATACCTTTCGGGGAAAAAATAATTACCTCTGCCTTTTCCCCCATAACCTTTTCTTTTTTTTTTTTTTTTTTTTTTTTTTTTGAGATGGAGTCTCGCTCTGTCGCCCAGGCTGGGGTGCGGTGGCTGGATCTCTGCTCACTGCAAGCTCCGCCTCCCGGGTTCATGCCATTCTCCTGCCTCAGCCTCCGAGTAGCTGGGACTACAGGCGCCCGCCACCTCGCCCGGCTAGTTTTTTGTATTTTTAGAGAGACGGGTTTCACCGTGTTAGCCAGGATGGTCTCGATCTCCTGACCTCGTGATCCACCCGTCTCGGCCTCCCAAAGTGCTGGGATTACAGGCTTGAGCCACCGCGCCCGGCCTTCCCCCATAACCTTTTCGTATGCATATTTTGACTTTGTGAAAAATGAAGTCATTGTGTATTTCTGTTTGTCAGTTGAGTTCTACTGAAGATTAAACTGATAACTCTTTTAGAAGCACAATCACCGATAATTTTTTAAGTGGTAAAATATACCTAACGTAACAAGTATCATTTTAACCAATTTTGAATTCAGAGGCATTGAGTACGTTCACGTTGGGTAACCATTACTACTGTTTATCCCCAGAGCTTGTTTATCTTCCTCAACTGAAACTCTGTATCCATTGAATAATAGTTCCCCATTCCCCTTCTCCTAGCTCAGGTATCCACCATTATATTTCCTGTCTGCAGGAATTTGTTTACTATGTTTGGAGATTATTTCTCTCTCTGTCACTCAGGCTGGAGTGCAGTGGCACGTTCTCAGCTCACTGCAACGTCTGCCTCCTGGGTTCAAGTGATTCTTCTGCCTCAGCCTTCCGAGTAGCTGGGACTACAGGTGTGCGCCACCACGCCTGGCTAATTTTTGTATTTTTAGTAGAGATGGGGTTTCACCATTTTGGCCAGACTGGTCTCAAACTCTTGACCTCATGATTCCCCTGCCTGGGCCTCCTAAAGTGCTGGGATTACAGGTGTGAGCCACCGCGTCCGGCCAATTATTCCTTTTTTTATGCATTACTTCTCCGTAAAATACAATCTAACTGTGTTATCTGTCCTAGTCTCTTTTCTGTCGCTAGTAACAGAGTACCTGGAACTGTGTAATTTATGAGAAACATCATTTATTTCTTACAGTTTTAGAGGCTGGGAAGTCTGAGGTCCAGGGAGTGTATCTGGTGAAGGCCTTCTTGCTTGTGGGGATTGTTTGCAGAGGCCCAGGGTGGCGCAGGGCACCACAGGGCGAGGCAGTCGAGTGTCCTAGCTCGGGTCTCTCTTCCTCTTCTTTTAAAGCCATCAGTCCTGACTGGGCGCAGTAGAAGCGCACTTGGTCCTTTGCGATTTCCTTACTGGGAAGTGGGAGAGAAACTGCTCAGATGGCCTCCCCCTCCCCAGATTTGAAAGAGAGAGAGCGAGTTGTGAGTGAGCGGCTTTGCTCTCCAGCACTTGTTTGGTGAAGAGCCTCAGGGTCTGGACTGTGACCTCCCAGCTCTCAGGAACCCCATTCACCACCAGAAGGGGTGGCATGTTCACCCTCTTATTCAGGAAGGAATTGGAAAACAAACATTCGAGAGTGTGAGGTCAAGAGCTAGAAAACCACAAGCCTCCGGCACCTGAGCCAGGGAAGATGCTGGGAGCACCTGCAGGATACTCCCATATTCTGCCCCCTTGGTACTTGTCAGCCTCTGAGAACTGAAGCCAGACCCTTTCTTTGCTTGAGCAGAAGAGCAGACCAAAGAGCTCATTGACTCAAGGAGCATCATGGCAACGGGGCTGTACTTGGAAGGGAAGAATCCAGGGTGTGATCCACAACCAAGGCCTGAAGAAGTGGGGTCTGTATTGACCTACCAAGGGTGAGTCATGACCCAAGTGCTGGGTCTCTAGCCATGGGTGGTCCTTCCAACCATTTCCCCTCCTGCAGAGGGGCTGGTGTTTTTCTTCATTTCTCATAACCTTCTTGGGAGCACAGGCTTTGGTTTCTGCCTTCCCTGGATCAGGCCTCCCGCAATGCAGTTGCTCTAACAGAAACTATTAGCAATGACACAGTACCACAGAAGCAAGCTCCTTGCGAACAGTGATTACTGACGATATTGTCTTCTAGAGACCATTCTAATGACTAGACAGCCTTGGTGCAGGAGCTGTTGTCGGTCATGAGGAGCATTTCCTTGTCTATGTAGAGGAACTGAAACCTTTATGGCCAGCAAAATTTACCCAAAGCAATCACTGGAATACTCATCACACCATCATGGCCCATTGTATCACTTTTGTTCCCTATATATGTGGTCCCATTTTCAGGACCAGTACTCCCTTATGTGGGGAGCAGGACAGATGCCGTGAGTTACTTATAGTGACTCATTAGTTGGGGGATTTGCTAGTATTTTCATCAAAGTTGAATCTAGTGAAACATTTGATTGAACTGGCTCCCAAATTCAGAATAAACCAACACCACTCAGGAAACCTATTTACAGCAAGAACTCAGGAGTGGGAACGCATCTTCCACTGTCACCTTGATTAACAATAGCTCTGACCTGTGGGAGGACGGTCCTATCTCCTGTAACAAACATGGGGTAGTGATGAGCCAGGTCCTGCTGCTCCTACATTCTCATCACTTAGATAAGCACATGCAAGTGACTGCAAGCCTTCCAGCCTCCATCAGCATCCTCCAGTTCTCCCCTGACCGCTCTCATTCATGTTCCGCACTGATTCAGAGGTCCAGTCCTGAGTATCAAAAAGAAACATTTGTGAGCCTTTCTAGAAATCAATCAATCAATCATTCATGGATTATAGTGAAGTCTTCCCTACTAAACACATCTCCAGAAATTTAGACTCGGTAACTCCCTTCCTGAATGTCTTTCCAAGGCCCCAAGTGACACTGATGTTCCATAGACAATGTCTTACACAGCAAAGTGCTTGTGTGGGTGGAAGGCAGCTGACCTTCCCTGAAATCCTGATTACAGGTTCTGTTTAGAACATGGAGTCTCATTTTGAGAAGCTCTTAGTATTTAGCATTCACAGGAAGTTCACAGGTTCCAGAAAACACTGGACAGCACTCAGGGGAAAAAGAAGGGGCAGAGATGGAGACACTTGGTCAGTGTGGCCAGAGCATCCTGGGGGAAATGCATTGAGGGATGGGGGAAATGCACTGAGGGATGGGGGAAATGCACTGAGGGACGGAGGGGCAAATGCACGCGGGTGATGGGGAGAAGAGCAACACAGATAGCAAAGACACTGTCCAGACAACCTCCCAACTCAGGAGAAGGGACTGAATCCAAGAGGAGAAGAGGAGGGATGAGGCTGGGTGTTGAGGCATGCCCCAAAGTCTGTGAAGTCTGTGAAAATCAGACACCTGTAGATTTGATTTTAGTGTCCTGATAGAAAAAGAAAAACAATGCTAGCCATAATTTTTAAAGGCTTTGATATTTTGGGAAATAAGCTTCTCATTTGAGGCTAGATTTAGTTCCTTCCCTCTGAAACATGTTCAATTCATGATTTCTACTTAATTCAGGTTTTCTAGTTTTGTAACAACTTAAGCTGGTTGATCAAGCTTGCAGGCAGGCAGGCAGGAAGGAAGGAAGAAAGGAGGGAAAAGAAGGAAGGAAGAAAGGAAGGAAGGAAAGAATGAAAGAGAAACAGTAAAAGAAAAAAAAAGGAAAGAAGGAAGGAAGAAGACTACAAAAGTCTCGACATGAAGTGTTTCTGCAAGTAAACAAGGAATTCCTTTTGTACCAAGGACTCCAAAGTTGTCTGGACTCCTTAGGTGTCACAAGGCCACTGGCCCTGATGTTTCAGTGAACTGTGAAATAAAGCACTGACCCGCTGCTGTTCCACCGTGATGCCTCCAATCTCTGGGCCTCAAGGGAAGATAGTGTTTGTTCATTCTGCAATTACTTATTTAGGATGTACTTGTTGGGTGAGTGGTGAGCGTGATGGTTGACAGGCAGACACAGACAATAATCAAGTACACAAGTAAAGAGTAATTAAGGCCACTTATTTTGGAATTAAATAATTTGGGGCTCAAATCGTAGTTCAGTTTTTTGACAACCATATCACTTTGGGCAAGACACTTAAATGTGTGGAGCCTCCACTTCCTCACCTGTAAAGGGGAATTAAAAATGTGGGTATTGAGAGGATTGAAGCAGATAGGTTAGGTAGTGCTTAGAAAGTAGTCCCAAGCACACAGCTACTATTCTTCTTACAAATGTTTTGGAAGGTTAGAGTGCCCCTGAATAATTGAAACACTCTTATGGGAGCCATACCTTAACACACATTACTGAAGATTTTAGATAGAATTGTCAAAAAACACAGAAAAGTAATGAAGAATGTGACAAGCCCTTGAGACCTGGGGAAGGCCAGTCAACTGAAGTCTTAGGACAGAGCAAAGAGGGATGGATTAGGGATATGGTACCATAAGCATGACCTGGAGCTGTGCCAATGCCCTATCTCTGGCGAGCTCTTTTCCATGGTTCGATGTAGGGTGAAGGAGCTCCTGGGTCCTTGGGGTTTCTCAGCCAAAACAGCTTCCATCATCATTGCTTTCTCCTCTGTTGTTTCTTGGTTGTTGAGCCCCAAAATGTGTGATGCCTTGAAAGAGGTTAAAGGTGGGCATCATCTCTCCCTAGAATACAAGCTTAATCGGCAGTGGCCCGTCTGGAAGGCTTGTGTTTTTCTCCTTCTTCTCGTGCATATTCTCAGGAACATAATAAGCACATCAAGAAACGACTTTCTTGATTTCTAGCAAGAAAAATCACGACTTCCTTGACTTTTAGTGGATCGACCATTGTTGTGTTGTCCTGGAAAAACAGATGTGGAGCAGACAGGAGTGAACATTTGCCTTCAAGCTTCAGTCTCTATGTCCTGGCCTGTTCATAATTTGATGAAAAAGCCATTGATTTGTTTAAAAATGTAGAATATGTGAATGTTTAATTACCAGATAGAGCAAATAACCCACCAGCTCTCTGGCTTATAAACAATAATGGCCCACATTCCCCCCCACCTTGTTCCTAGAGCACTAAGCCTGTCAGTGAGGTGGCTTGGTTTGGAAGTTTCCCTTTGAAATTTCCAATGAATAACTTATTGGTGGCTGTTTTCAAGGATTCTCAGAGGACCTTAGCCTTTGTCCTTCCAGCAGTTTCATCTGTTATTTTTCAGTAATTTTTTAGGTGAAAAACAAATGGAACAAGTAATCACTATGAAAAACATAGAAAATACAGATAAGCAAGGCAAAAATACCCAAAGACTCACCCAAAATCCCACTGTCCTTGTTGGCCTTGTGAAACCAGTGGTCAACTGGGAACACACTGCTCACTTACATGCCAAGCACAGCATTCGCCTTGTCATGTATTATGGCATTTGATCATCAGGATAGCCCTCATCCCCATTTAACAGATGTGTACAGTGAGGTTAGAGAGGTTATGGAGCTTGCCTAAGGGCACAGGGCTAGTCAGTGAGGAAGCCAGGATTTGATCTCAGGAGGTGGAACTCCAACAAATGGGAATGCAGTGCTGTAGGGGTGTATGGAACCTGGTACTGAGGGCGGGCAGTCATTAGGAGAATTGCAGGAGGACCACAGGGAACAGTTTATGCTAAACCTGACCTTCTCTGCAGTTCACAGGAGCAGCAACCAAGACACCACACCCCTCCCAAGGGCAGCAGCTGAGAGGTCATTTCCTAGCACACAGTTCCCAATTCTCATCCTCTGCTTCCATTCAAAACTTCCTCAAAAGCACTTCCTGTTTTCTGTGACTCCCCGCTGAGTTTTGGAGAAATCTTATCTTCTGCCTGGGGTTCTGGAGCAGGTCACAGAGCAGGTGGTGGGTGGGATGGAGGGGAGAATACTCACAGTCTGACCTCAGTCTCATGCCTGCAGACCCGTGGTGTATATAACACAAGGGGGATGATACTTTCTTGTGCAAATATGATTTTTTTTTTCTTTTTTCGTGTTCCCTTTACAAGGACATCTACCCTCTACAGACAGGGATATTGCTTTCTCACAGATGATCAGAATTCTAACAATAGGAATGTGAAGAGAAAAAAGAATCAGTGTTCAGAATTAGACTTTCCTGATAGATTCCCGAGTTCACAGTGATCCAAAAGCCAAGGCTGAAGAGAGAGGAAAAGATTTTCTAAATTCCTGGAGCCGGTCTGAAAACCTCTCTTATGAACCTAGCGTCATCATGGAATTCATTGTCCATAGCTTGGTGGAGTTGGAGAAAGAGGCGAGAAGAGTCACCTCCCGAACTGGGAGAGTGACAGGGGGTTTCTGCAGGAGGCTGAGGGCTGTAGCCTCCTCACACTCACGCCTGGGGTGGCTGAGCTTGGAGCATGTGGGCTTTGGAATATTTCCACACTCAGGCTTACGTGGAGGGTGGGGAAGCAGGTCAGACAGGTTGGGATGACCAAAGGCAGCAAACACAGACTGCTCAGAAGACCCCAGGACACTTGGACAACCATGGGAGGAAGAATGGCTCCCTGAACAATGAAAGAGACTAGATTTGGGGGAGTGTGATCCAAGTCAAATTTATTTCAAGAAGATTAAAGGAATATGATAGTTCTGGAAAGCATACTGGAGTAATGAAGCCCAAGAAGAGGGTTACTGCATGGGTGAAACAGAAAGGGGCTAATGAGTTCCCAGAACATGGGAGGAAATGGTCAAGTGTTGATAAAGCCTGGAAAACTCAAGTTTACAACCTCTCCTTAGGCCTGTACTGTAATTCCCATGGCCACACTCTCATGTTCAGTTTTATTCAGGCATTAACAAGGACAAAGGTTGAGAAACATAGGAGAGGAATGCTAGAGTCTCTTTAATGGTGTGGACATTCTCTTCATCAGCCTCATGTACTCAGCTTTGGGGTGATGCTTCCTGGCTGGTGCTCTTCTTCCCCCACACCTCGTCTTCCTCCTGGCTGATTTCTCTGCGTGATTTGCATAGTGGAGTGTTCAGGGAACTTGAGGGATCTGCACACTCTATGTACAAACTTCATCCAGGCTGTGCCAAATAGTATTTTAGAATGGTCAGGGCTTAGCGCCCAGGATCACCCATCCGGAGGCTTTGCAAGGGGTAGGCAGACATGGCCCCGAGAGAGCCCATGGCTTGATGAGTTGAGTGCACGTTGAAATTCAGGCCCCACGGGCCCTCCCTCTAGGCAACTCTGAGCAATCTACAAAGTCTGCATGAGCAGACAGATAATCTGCTGCTGCACACACACAGAGCTTACCCCTGCTCACTAAGGCTCACCTCCTATGATGCCTCCTAGGCAGACAGAAGTTAAGGCTGGCTTGCCACACTCACATTCTAGGACCAGGGACCTGCACCTGCCCTTGCTACGCTGACCAGTCTCCCAGGCTGTCACCACTGCCCTTGGAAGAGCTCACACTGCTGATATTCCAACCTCCTTCCTTGCTCTTGCCAAGAGGTGGCAAGAGGGTTCCCTTATTCACCTGCCCACTGAAAACCAAAAATTTTTTTATTACAGTAAAATAGACATAATATAAACTTGACCATTTTCACAATTTTTGAGAGCAGCATGAAGTTCATTTGCATTGTCGTGCCACCATCACCACCATCTATCTCCAGAACTTTCTCTTCATCCCAAACTGAAATTCCTAACCCATTCAACATTAAATCTTCATATCCTTTTCTCCTAGCCCCTTAATTTTAAATGGATGAGGATAATATTTTTGAAATAATAATGTTTATTTCCTGTTGACTTTCTTTTCGACAATCTGCCCTTGATACAGACAGAGGTATCCATTGTCTTGGGAGTAGTTAAGATTGTGAAAGGGGAAATGGGACGAAAAAGAGCCAAATGTTCAGGGTATAGCTTCTATTAATAAAACAACATTTTTGAGACCTGGCTTTCAGCAAAAAGCCAGGCTTTATAAACAGAGGCAAATGTCCTTCCAAATTCCAACAGGCTGCTGGGAAGCTGGGTGGGCACTCAGGATGGTCTGGCTCCAGGTCACCTTGCCTTGCACCACTGTCTTTAGGAGTGAAAACAATCCATGAGCAGCATCATATCTGTGCTAACAAATAGTGGAGCGGGTATTGTGGAGGAGGATTCAAGGCGTCTTTAAAACCTGGAAGACAGAACAAGGGATGAGAAGTACAGGTGGCAAGTGTCAGCTCACATAGAATTAAAATCTGCTTTTCTAGTCATCCAACTCTGGGATGATTTGAGCGGAGACTGACTGACCCTTGTATTTCATGGCGGGTGATGCTCTGGCTGAACTTCGAGACATCCCATTTCCTCCTGACTCTTGGATCCTATGCCCCTATTTTAAGAGCAACCAGAATTACTGTGCTTCCTAAAGTGTGGCCTCACGCAAGGGCCTTGGGTAAGTTTTAGTGTTCAGGGGATGGAATAAACATGGTCATGAAATATGTCACGAGATGGGGCCTGAGGGCTTTCCCTGAACTTCTATGCATAGCAAAGAGCAAAGGCTCCTGAGCAAACAAAACACAGAAATAAACCTTTAGAGTCATGTGGCTCATGGTGAACTTTTCACTATTCCAGGGAAATGGAGAAAAATGAGGAGCACTGGGTAACTTTTTTTCCTTTTCCGCAAAGATTAAGTTATTCCATTGAAAGGAATGTTAATTATTCTCAGACTATAACCTTCCTACTTTCTGTCTCTCTTTTGTTTCTTTCCTTCCTTGCTGCTCTTTTTTTTTTTTCCTCCGACAGAGTCTTGCTCTGTCACCCAGGCTGGAGTGCAGTGGCACTATCTTGGCTCGTTGCAACCTCTGCCCCCCGGGCTCAAGCAATTCTCATGCCTCAGCCTCCCCGGTAGCTGGGATTACAGGCGCGTGTCACCACGCCGGGCTAATATTTGTATTTTTAGTAGAGACAGGGTTTCGCCATGTTGGCCAGGCTGGTCTTGAACTCCTGGCCTCAAGTGATCCACCTGCCTCGACCTCCCAAAGTGCTGGGATTACAGGCGTGAGCCACCGTGCCCCGCCCTTCCTTGCTTCTTTACTTTTTAAATTTTTTTCATTTGGAATATTTTTTCTCTATTTATTAATTTCTTTCTTTCCTTCTCTTTCTTTTGGGGCATGATGATTGGTGACAGCATTGGATAGATATTGCTGTTTCTGTGTTCTTCGCAAAACAAAGTGTCAGAGTGTCAGTCCTCCATGTTCTTTATAAAAGTTTGCTATTTCATAACATTCCCAAAGTGTGGGAACCACTGACAATAGCAAGTCTTCTCAAGGTTTAAGAGTCAGTTAAGGAAAAAAAAAAAAAAAAAAGCAACCAGGTGCAGTGGCTCATGCCTGTAATCCCAGCACTTCGGGAGACCAAGGTGGGTGGATCATGAGGTCAAGAGATAAGACCATCCTGGCCAACATGGTAAAACTCTTTCTCTACTAAAAATACAAAAATTAGCTGGGCGTGGTGGTGCATGCCTGCAGTGCCTGCTACTCGGGAGGCTGAGGCAGGAGAATCACTTGAACCTGGGAGGCAGAGGTTGCAGTGAGCCGAGATTGTGCCATTGCATTCCAGCCTGGGCGACAGAACAAGACTCCAATTCAAAAAAAAAAAAAAAAAAAGCTACTCTTTATTGGATCTTTATTGGAAATAGCTTTAAGGGGCAGAGAGAAGTAAGATTCCTTTTTATTTCTCATTTTCAAATAAAAAATGAAAATAGTCATTCCAAAGTGACAAGAGAGAATATAATCAAGCCTTTAGTGTACTTTTGCCCGGCTTATGGAGGGATAAGATAAAAATGTCACTAGGTGAAAACAATGAGATAAATTCACAGCTGGGAACATTGTACAATATCACCAGTGTTGCACGTTTGCTCAGTAGCTGGCTGTTCTCCATGTCAACAGGATGTATGTGGCTTGTTTTAACTCAAGGTCCTCCAGGAGTATGTGTCCAACCACCAAGGTGGGCAACAGAGTTTGGAGGCTGAATCCTTCGGTACCTGGAGCGGGATGGCAATGGAACCACACAGAATGGCCCAGAGCCCTGAGAAGGCTTCCTTCCCAGCAAAAGGCACCTGCACAGAAATTCAGCCCATAAAGTCAGGCAGAGACGGACACGGATGACAATTGGATAATGAGTGTTGGCATTAACAAGCATTGAAAATAAGTCACTAGACAATTAAACTCACAGTGTCAGAAAATCTTACAGCTTATGTATAATCAAATGAAACTAAACTTGATAGAGTGTTCACCAGATTTGACAATAATCTTTAAAATGTATGACATTGCCTGTAATGAGTTCGGAGCTCAACGTTTTCTAAACCAGTAATAACTGTAATTATTGAGTAATTAATCTGTCCTGATGGTGGAAAGAATGAATTTTTTCCCTTCTTGCTAAAAGAGTGAGATTACAAAAGTTGTTATATGTAGCAAAAAATTTGGTAAAAATTATAAAGTGTGTTAGCCATTGATTAATAACATAATGTTTTTCTGGGAGAAAAGAAAACCAGATAGAGTGCAACATAAATGCAAAGTTTTGCTCAGCAATTAATGTTTTCTCTTTTTGGATTTTAATTGTCATGTACTGACAGCCAAAAAACCACATATATCATGTCCAGTCCGAAATACAGGAAAAAAATGTGCATAAAGATGTTTAGCCCAGCTTTGTTTTCAATAGGGAATAATGCCTGAGTGTTTCACAGTAGAGAATTGGGATATGACAACATTATTATAGTATCTTGCAGCCATTAAAAGGAATGTTTCTGAAAAGCTTCTAATAACATTGTAACAAAAACTGTGTCATCATCTTCCGTTTAAAAAAAGCAGGGTATAAAATCCAACACTTCATATGATTTCAGCTACATTAAAGCATGTCTAGAAAATACAACCAAAGGGAATAAAAACTTTCATTGCCTCAAATTACCCCAAAGGCAGGGGGCAGCCCGTGGCCAGGGAGGGCCAGCCTCAGAAGGACTGAAGTTGCTGACTTGTGCCTACGGCGGCAGCAGCTGCTGGTTTCTCCTTCCATGTTAATCTGGGTCACAGAATCTCGTGATTTACAGAAGCAGCTCTGGCTCATTCTTGGGTGACTGGCCTGCCTTCTTGGAAGACAGGATGATGCTCATCAACACTGGCTGTGACGCAACCTGAGGGCTCTGCAAACCTCCCGTGGGGCACACACTGGGGCAGGGGCCTCAGCATCTGAGTCTCTGCTCTGAGGATGGAGCGGGCAGGATGGGTGAGGCAGAGAGGAAGAAAGTTCTCCGGATGTCCTGGTTAGTCACCCTGATTGTGGGAAATGCACACTCATGGCTGAATCAGCAAGAATCAAGTCTCTTGGCCAGAAAAACAAGCCATTACAGCCTGAGAATCTCTCAGGACACACACACACACCCCACACACACCAAACACACACACACACCACACATCACACATACACACACCACACACACCCCACACCACATACACATATGCACACACACCACACACACCAAACACACACACACCACACACACCCCCACTCACACTACACACACACGCACACACCCCACACATCTCACACACATCACACATACACACACCACACTCACACCACAAACATGCACTCACACCACATACACGCACACACCACACACACACCATACCACATGCACACCACACACACGCACACACCACACACACACACCACATGCACACCACACGTGCACACACCCCACACACCTCACACACACACATCACACATACACCACACTCACCCCCACACACACCACATACACACATGCACACACCACACACACCATACCACACACACGCGTGCACACACACACCACACACACATATATGCACATACCAACAAAGACAGACTTATCCCATATATACACACATACACACATGCACAAAACACATATACACATGTGCATATGCACACTATGCTACACATATGCACGACACATGTACACATACATTAATGTACATGTACACAAGTGCACACACACATGCACAAAATACAGATGCATACATCTGCATATACATGTACACTCATGACACACACATCCACACACGTGCACACACACATATATACTGCAGTATAATATTCTTAGTAGAATAGTATGAGGGGCCTCAGTTGTGGTCAGGTGACCTGACGCTTAGTCTGAATTGTTAGTAATTGAACCGTATAATTTTGTCTAAATCTTTTCATCTCTGCTTCCAGCCCGCAGAGAGTGTGGTTGACTCAAACCATCTGGAAGTTCTCTTTAGTTGTAAAATTCTGTGATTTCAATGGGAAAAGACGGTATCGTCCACCCAGAGCTCACCTGAGCTCCTTCTCTGTACCCTGAGGAGGATCCTGGGGGCTGGAGTCACAGCCCAGGGTGCTTGTGAGGCCGTCCTCACCCAGCGCCAGCCCCAGGAGTGTTGCCACCAGGGATAGCCCAGCGTCTCCAAGGACCTCTGCTGTGAGCATTCCTGTGGCTTCTTCCCTGCCCCTCCTCCTCACACCCACATACTTCTTCCGTCCTTTCGGATCACGAATCTGCCTTGGGAGCAAATAGGCAGGAACCAGCAACCTTCTGAGGCCCAGGGCTTCCAGGAAGAGGTCAGCAGCTGTCTGTCCCGAAGGCATTTCCAGGAGTTCCTTTCTGCTCAGCGGAGGTGGAAGGGGGCTCACTGCTCCTTAACTCTCCCTATCAGAGGTGTCCCCCTGGTCCACCCTCTCTGGCCGTGGCATTCACTTACGGCAGACAAGCGGCTCCTGTCCTGAGTCAACGTCTGGAAGCCACCAGGCCCTGGGCTGGGAGGATTTGGAGCCTGTCATCAGCATGTGACTTTCGGTTGTGATGCTCAAGTCTGACCTCATCCTCAGGTTGCCACCCAAAGCCCAGCTGTGATCCGGATTGCTGAAGATTGCCCTTGACAGCAAATTCCTCAGGCAGCTGTGGAGCTGAGCCCTGAGGACTCGGTGAGCCAGGGCTGGGCCCTCACCCTCACACTATTCCTCATGAACAGTTCCGTTTAAGTTCTCAGGAATTCATAGTCCTGCAGACTGTGGTGCCAGGTCTCACATACGAATTCAAACTAAAAACAAAACCCCTGCCAGGAAAAGGAGAAAAGAAGTCAAAGAAAACGCTCACTTCTTCCCCCTCTGAGAACGTTCCTTTTTTTTTTTTTTTAAATAATAAATATTAAATTATTTAAAAAGCAATCAATCCCTTTTCCTGTCCCTCTTTTCTGGGGGACCCTGCTTTGTTGAGCTGTTCTAAATACAATGGGTAGTCTTGTACATTACTCTGCCAGCTTTATTGTTACCTGGACATTTTTAGGTTTCAGCTTTATGTTTTTAGATTTTTTCAAAGAAAACTGTGGTAATATATATAAACACAAAATTTACTACTTTACCCAACTGGAACTGCACAGATCAGTGGCATTAAATATATTCATATTGTTGTGCAATCATCACCACCATCCCCTCCAGAAACTTTCTTCATTTTGCAAAACTGAAACCATCTTTTAATTCATTCATTTATTTTGAGATGGAGTCTCACTCTGCCACCCAGGCTGGAGTGCAATGGAGCAATCTCATCTCACTGCAACCTCTGCCTTCTGGGTTCAAGCGATTCTCCTGCCTCAGCCTCCCGAGTAGCTGGGATTACAGGCGCCCCCCCACCACGCCCAGCTAATTTTTTTTGTATTTTTAGTAGAGACGGGGTTTCATCATGTTGGCCAGACTGGTCTCGAACTCCTGACCCCAAATGATCTGTCTATCTTGGCTTCCCAAAGTGCTCGGACTACAGGCGTGACCCGTCACACCTGGCCTCTATCTTTTCATTCTTTTTTTTTTTTTTTTTGAGATGGAATTTTCACGCTTGTTGCCCAGGCTGGAGTGCAGTGGTGCAATCTCAGTTCACTGCAACCTCTGCCTCCTGAGTTCAAGTGATTCTCCTGCCTCAGCCTCCCAAGTAGCTGGAATTTCAGGCACGCACCACCATGCCTGGCTAATTTGTTTTGTATTTTTAGTAGAGACAGGGTTTCACCATGCTGCCCAGGCTGGTCTCGAACTCCTGACCTCAGGTGATCCACCCACCTCCGCCTCCCAAAGTGCTGGGATTACAGGTGTGAACCACCGCACCTGGCCCATGTTTTGACTCTTAATGAAAGCTTTCCACTTACTTCTAAGCTCAGATCCCTGCACTTCCCTCTTGGTTTTACAGCCCGGCTGTTATCTAGCCGTTGTTTATGCGAGAACAGACAGGCTGGGCCCCTCACTTTAGAGTGACTTTTCTGTGGTCACTCTATCAGGGCTCAGTAAGACCAGTGTGGACTCTGAACAGCGACAGGGCCAAATGTAGTTTTATGATTTTTGTGAATCCCGTAGTTGTCACCCTGACACCTTTCTACAAAAAAGACCAGCAAAATTTCTAGAGTTCTCATTCCTTTTAGAAGGTGTAGGGGTTTAGATTTTAGAATTCATTGCAACTCCCACAAATGCCTTCAAGCCCACACCACACCGGCTTTGGGTCCTTGGGATACGTTTGTCCACAATGGAGACCTCAGGCACCCCAAGGTGGCCAAAGTTTGGACATGGTATCCAGAGACTGTTACACTATAGTAAAGAGGTGATGAGGAACACGGCGCCTGAGTGCGTTTCACAGCAACTCTTAAGAGACAGGGTCCCATGATTGGCTTTTCTGACTCCTAGAATTTGCACCTTTTGATTCTCACCATGGACACAAGAGGTAAGCTATGGTCTTGTTTCCTCCCTCCTGAAGGGGAGACAGCCAGCTACGCAGTGGCCAGTTTCAGCCTGACCAGAGCTCCTGGTACAGAAGACCCCAAACTGCCCCCTGAAGAGTCCCCCAGGGCATTTCCCAAGATGGGGCAGTGAGTTGAGTGATCCTTAAGCTCTTGACCTTTGGGTTGCAATGATTCCTGACTGTGGTCCCAACATTTCAGAAGCCCGGGAATCCCACAATCATATGAACAGGTGCCTGTCCTAGGGCTTGCATAAAACAAAAGCACTGGCTGGGTATTGTGGCTCAGGCCTGTAATCCTATCACTTCAGCAGGCAGAGGTGGGAGGATGGCTTGAGGCCAGAAGTTTGAGACCAGCCTGGGCAACATAGTAAGATCATCTCTTAAAAAAAAAAAAAATTAGCCGGGCATGGTGGTGTGCACCTGTAGTCCTAGCTACTCAGGAGGTTGAGTCGGAAGGACTGCTGGAGCCCTGGACTTTGAAGCAACAGTGAGCTATGATCATGCCACTGCACCACAGCCTGGGTCACAGAAGCCAAGCCCTCTCTCTCTCCCTCTCAAAACAAGAAAAGCATTAAGACTTTTACAGTAACTCAAATGTGTTTCCCCAGTATCCTCCCTCACCTTTCTTCTACTAACAGAACCCTGGTCTTGGGGAGAACTGCTCCTCCCGCAACAGCGCATTGGGTGATAAGGCCAATCCTAATAACTCTGTCTTTTCCAAATTTGCACAGGGATAGGTATGTGACCCAAGCTAATCCAATCAGAGACCCACTCTGGGATTTTACATATAGATGCTGCAAGAGACAAATCCCTTCTCTCTGGTTTTTAGCTATCTGCTGCTACAGGAAGCAGTCTTTTGAAGTAGGAGAGAGTGAGGCCAACACTCAGGAAGGAGCTGAGATAAGAAAAGGAGTTTCCACTCCTTAAGGTGACCACAATTTCCATTTCAGTCTCATCCTTTGTAGACACAGCTATGTCTAGTTTTAATTTTATTCATCAGAACTTCTTTTCTCGTTATAAACATTAATCATGTTTATCGTGGACAACTTGCTTGAAACAAAAATGAACTGAAAATGTAAGAAAGGCGTGAAGGTCTTTTTGCTGTAGGTTTTCTCTTCCTCCTGGTGTCATCCCCTTCATTTTTGTGTAGAAGTAGCAGAGCTTCCTCTGTTCCCCATTGCCAAAACGAACAGAGTCAATTTGGTTTTTTGGTTCACCCAAGAAAAATCTAAGGGGCCTGTTTTATTTACAATGGGAAGAAATGTGAAAATTATCTGGGCTCTTTTCACTTTCCCACACCATTCCTAATTTTAGTAATAATCAGCATCTAAAAAACCCTGAGAGTTTGGGTGTAATGATTTTGTAGGTTTTGGCCTGGGTTGTCCTGCTATGTGGGATGACAACAGTAAAAACACAACAAATAAAAAGAAATCCTTTTGAATTAAAGATCAACAAAACGAATGCAACGAGCAACAGTTTATTTATAAAAAAAGAAAAAACAAACAACTTTTTAACGACATTTTATAGATTAAGTAAAAATACCAGTATTAATATATATGTATATACATAGTGCATATATATATATACATATGATATAACATTAACATTACATGCTTCTCAGGACAGAAGAATTAGGACATGTTCCCTCATATCAATTTAAAACTCGATCACAATTTAAAATCATGGAAGAAAACTTGCTTCCTTTATTTTCTGCTTTTAGACTTCAAGTACAGGAAGTTATCAAACCAGGATCTAAATGTGGAAACCATCTGCTATGCACCAATTACAAGGGACTGCCACCCACAAATGATGAGTCAGGGGTCTTCTGAATTCTTACATAGGTCTCTGTAACCCTACAACCGTGTCAACCTTCTACCTGAGATGAGAGGGAATGAGGAAGCGTGACAGTTTGTAGGTTTCATGTGGACATTCACATTGACATTGGAACAAAAGCAAACTGAAAAATGTCTTCCGAGAGCAACAACACTGATCATGAAATCACCCTGGAGGAGGATTCCTTTCTCCCCTTTCCTTGCCAAACGAAACACAGAAACTGTCAGAAAACAAACACAAAACAAAACTCAGGGTGAAGCACCTCTGGCGATGATTAGCATACAGCAAGGGACAGAGAGGTAGCGTTTCCTTGGTGACAGCTCCTGGCTGACTCTGATGATTTCAAACACACCCTCTTCTGCAAAAGGCACTCACATATTGTCTGTTTGTAAGTCATACAGTGGGATTCCATACATGGGAGTTTCTCCTACAAATATAAAAGAGATAAGCTGAGGAAATGGTATAACAAAGAAAAGCGTATAAGAAATACACATTTGGGATAAATATGCACTTTTCTTTTTTAAAGGACAATCAATATAGTAGTTTAAAAAAAGTCACTGAAAAGTTAGGAATTCCAGCAAAATTATCAGTAAGAAGCAAGGTACTGGAGGATGAGAGATGGAGTCCGAAACACTGAGAGGAGGTACACTAGCTTTTTGAGTGGCCAAAGTAAAAGATTTGCTCTGCTCTGAAACTACAATGACCATCCACAGACAATGGAATGAGAGCGGGAGGGAGGTAGCGGCAGAGAAACAGGCTTTCTCTGGTCAAGCCGGAGGGAGGAGTGGCATCCCCCTGGCTATGGGCACAGGATGAAACACCCTCAGCATCTCCAAAGGAAAGGATGGGCTACACCACCCCCTTGCTTCTGCAGTCCAAACAGACCCTGCCCAAGCCAGAGGCTGTCCTCACCGGGACACAACAGAGCTAATGGAATTGTAAGAGGTGCCGCTGTTGCAGCTCGAGGCATAGGCCTCCTGGCCATTGCCATCCAGGTTGATTTTGAACACAGAAGATGCCTTCAGCAAAAAGTCTGCAGCATCCCGGCGACCCAGCTCCCTCAGTTTGGACATGAGGGTGCCCACCGTGCTCTCAGGGTAGGAGGTCCACTCCCGCAGCAGGGCGTGGAGGGGGCTGGGGAGGAAATCCTTGGGCGCCCCGTTATTGGTGTTGTACTTTGCCACGAGGTCAGGGAGGCCCAAGTTCATGGCGAGAAGGCACCAGTCCTTCCCCAGGGGGTCAGGCGGGTCCAGCAGGCGACTCAGTTTCCTCCGAGTGAGGAGGTTCAGGTCTGACGCGTGGATGTCCATGCCGAGGCTGGCCTGCGAGTAGACATCGTGACACCCGAAGCACATGATGCTGCTGAAGCTTTCCTTGTATCCCCCCATGGTGTTGGTCAGTGAGGTTTCCTTCAGAGTCTGTGCCCGGAAGAAGTCCCGTGGCTGGTAGATCATGACAGGCTCGTGGTGCTCCCGCAGCTGCTGGGGGCTCAGGTAATGCTTCACAGTCAGGAGTCCCGGCAGCGTGGTGGCCATGACGTTCTCAATGGTGCTGCACACCG